AAAGCAGCCTATGTTTGTGCTTCTGTATAAAGATTCTTATTTCAACACTAACAAACTTAATGATTCTTTGCCTAGTGTTGTTAAATCTCTTTTGCAGGACTTCAAGGACGTGTTTCTAGAAGACATCCCTAATGGTTTATCACCAATACGAGGAATTGAGCATCAAACTGACTTCGTTCCAGGTGCAACAATTTCGAACTGACCAGCATATCAAAGCAATCCCAATGAGACGAAAGCACTTCAAAGGCAGGTTGAAGAACACATGAAAAAGGGACATGTGAGAGAAAGTATGAGTCCATGTGCAGTTCCAGTGCTACTTGTGCCTAAGAAGGATGGGACTTGGCGTATGTGCGTTGATTGTCGTGCAGTCAACAAAATCACTGTAAAGTATCGTCACCCTATTCCTAGATTAGATGACATGTTAGATGAGTTGCATGGTTCTTGCATATTCTCTCAAATTGATTTAAAGAGTGGATATCATCAAATTAGGATGAAGGAAGGAGATGAATGGAAAACAACCTTTAAAACGAAACATGGTTTATACGAGTGGTTAGTTATGCTATTTGGATTAACTAATGCACTTAGTAATTGATCCATAATATTAAACATTTGTGCTTCTGTATAAAGATTCTTAATTTCACCAATAGCACAAAACGTCCTAAAGAAAGTAATTAATCCACGCCTCAACTCAAATTCCTCATATTTTCAGTGATATCTTTCTACTTTTTCATCTTTAATTAATTGTTTTACTAATCTTTTGTCTATTTTTTCTTCTATTTATTTTACGAGGAACAACACTTATGAGACTTGGTCATAGTGATTAATATCCAAAAGTTATATGAGATGAAACTATTTGAACTCAACCCAACACTTGCACCATAATATTAGAAACCAAACATTTTTTTTTTAAGGTTATATTAAATTAATAAAAATAACTTATGCACCATAATATTAGAAACTGAACATTTTTTTAAGTTATATTAAATTAATAAAAGTAACTTATTAATTTTTATATTATATATTAAATATAGTAAACTCTTGATTATACCGATTCGATTTTATGATTCTGATTTTAACTATAAAAAATAATTTCACTTAAACTCTCAATTTTAACAACATTGCTTATTTTTGCTACTCTCTTTTATCACCAAAAAGCAAAAAAAAATAATAATAAAAGGAAAGGAATAGGATTTTACTTAAAAAAAAAAAAAGTGAAATGCATTTAATTCTAAGTTTTACTTTTTTAATAAAAACAAATATTAATATTTAATTTAATCATTCTCTTCTGTAAAAAGAAAAAAAAGAATGAGCAGTACTAGGGGCACTCGCTTTGTGCACTCTCCGGCCAACACTTCCCCTTTCATTGGGGCACGTAAGCTTCTTTAAAGATTTCAGCGCAACTTCTTGAAACCGAAATAACGTGGCCCAATAAAAGAGAAAGTGTTGGCCGGAGAGTGCAGGAGGCGAGTGCCCCTAGCATTGCTCGAAAAGAATAGGATTCAACAAGCATATCATTTCTCCGAGGAAAGTGTTGGCTGGAATCCCGCTAAACGAGCCCATTCCAATGGCGAATTTTGACATCTGCAATTGGAGGCGTATTGGCCGGCACAGTTCCTTCCTGGTCTGAACTGAACTTTTGCAAATTAACTTGTAAAAATCGGCGCCCCTCACGTGTCCGTAAGCGAATCTTCTGTCAACCTTCCCACTCCTTTCTTATGTAGTTAATACGTTGACTTCTGCCGAATCTTCTGTGGGCACATTCTGATTCCATAACAATTGCACCGTTAAATTGGTGCTTCTCCATCTCTCTACATATCCTTTTCTCCCTGGTTAGTGCTCACATATTTTCCATTTTCTCTTCTTTTTT